GGCCGGCTCTGGGGCAGAGGCTGTGCTCATTGTCCAGTACTTGACCTGTGTGTCCAGGGCAGGGCTAGACAGGGGCCTGAGTGTGAGAGCCCACAGAGGTGGTGGCTGTGTTAGGGTTTGTGTTTGAAAGGGAGGCTCCCGGGGGTAGCTTACCATCTCTAGGTATTAGCTAGACTCCAGACCCAGCGTGGCCCAGCTGTCAAGGCAGTTCATACAACCTGCTTATCTGGATGAGATGTGTGTGCTGGGCTGGACGCCTTTTGCTTTYGTGCTTGGTACCTTGGTGTCATGCTTAGGGTCTTGGCTTATGGAAGGTCACCTTGCAGGGTGGCCTCCTCCCAGTCCCTCCTGTTTACCTGGGTCTGCTTCTCTGTGCCCCTGTCTTCTACCCTGCATTAAAAAAAAAAAAAAAAACAGATTTTTGGTAACAGTGTGACCAACAGGGTTTGTTCTGAAGGTGAAATGTCACAGCATGTGGTCAGAATTTGCTGCTCTCAAACTCTGTTTTTATCTATTCATTTGTTGCAAATATTTTCTCCAGTATTCGAGTCTTGTAGCATTATGGTGTTTGCAAATCTTCAGTTTTTAAAAACAATCTTCCTTTTGATTTCTCACTTTTAATCTTATAAAGGCCCCGAGGAGGGTTGTGATCATGGGTCTGGTCATCAACTGGGCCATCCCAGGAAGGGCCTGGAGACTTTCTGTCGCCACTCTGTGCTTCAGTTTCCCTCAGCCAAGCAGATGCTTCCAGAGAGCATTTGGAGAGTTTGGTCTAAACACCTAGGGACCTTTTGGGAATAGAGATGAGTAATTGGGGGTAACTTTGAAGATTGACTACTTAGCTAGCCAGCTTACTTTTCAGATTCTCTGGTAGCAGAGTTAAAAGCTTGGCATCCTCAGGCACTTTTGGAATATAGCTTACACATACACACACTTGATAAAACCTGCCTGTGAAAACTGTAAAAAAAAAAAAAAAAGAAGGAATTTTAGGAGCACAAACCTGGACCACCACACTTCCCAACAGCGCCACCTCGTGGCAGACATGTGGGATCACGCCTGTGAAGCCGCCTAAGGTTCCACGTTGTATAGAATTCCATGCCTGCGAGGGCAGCTTAGAGAGGGATAGGAAACCCAGCGATCTTCATGGCTCTTAGAAAGTACGTGTCCTATTCGTTTTCTCCAGTAACTCTAGCGACGCCTTCCAATCAGGCCTGAATAGTTTGAAATTGCTTTCCCCCTTTCCCTTGGGCACACAAAGGTGAATAGTGACCCTATTTTGAAGAGCGGTCTTGCAGCGGAATCATAGCTCTGGATGAGGTGGCCTCACTCACCAAGTGTCTCTGCTGTGTCTGAGAGACTAGATCACTAAGCAGGATCCTCATGGCACAAACGAGGCCTCAGGCTCTAGGGGTGGGGTTCAGGGGGCAAGTGTGGGGTGCAGAGGGAGTATGGCTTTGGAGGGGGACAGAGCTGGCTTCTACTCCTGGGGCACACGCTTTTCTAGCTGTTTTCCTGGACAAGTGCCTGAGGGCTGGTTTCCCATTGGTGACCAGGAGAATGCCACCTCCCTGCAGGGGGTTGTGGGAGTAACACCTGCCCAGACATCCCCAGTCCCATCACACCAGCCTCAAGACTAGGTAGGACCGTCCTGCCCAATCCCTGAGACCAGTGAGTGGTGTGTCCTCCATTTCTTTTCTGCAGGCACGCCCCCTCCACTCCCTGTGTGGTCTTCGGATCCTAAAGGACCTGATTCTTTCCCCATTTGGGCATGTTCTGCATCTTAGTCATTGAACCTGTGACCGCCCCTCCACTCAGCTCTGTCTTTGCTTTGCAGAAGCCCACGTGGAAGCAGTGGCCATAACAGCCCATGACACACCAGTGATCTCAGAAGTGTGGCCTGAACAACTGAAGTCCGTAAAGAAACAAACCCAAAACACCCCAACCAACCCACCAACCAAACAAACAAAAAACACACACCCAACAAGTTAAAGTATTATTTATTCAAATAAACCAATATATTCTATTTCCTTGTCAATGGTCTATATCTTAAATCAGTGCAGCATAAGTATAAAAATAAGGTCATTTTAGAAAACTCCATGTTTTGCACAGCAATCATTTCTACATTTGTCCACGRCCGCTGAGCCCCTTCAAAGATGGAATGAATATCTTCTTGTTCAAATCACAACTATAATTAAAGTCAGTGTACTGGAAATGGAGGAAAATTCCAAAAGGGAAATATAAAATCATTTTAAGCATTGCCAGAAATACAAGTTACACTTAGGAATCATGTGTTAAAAGATATAAATCTGAGATATGCATAAAATACATTTTGCCAGGCTCTACTTTTGGCATCTGCTTAGAATTCAGTGCAGGCTGGAAGCTCTTCCGCCAGAACCCTAACAGCCACTGCCCACGTGGCAGTGAGCCCGTCACTTTAAGGAGAGATGAGTGGCCCCTCCCAATGCCCCCACACCGGCATTTTAAACCTCAAGAATGGTCAACAGTAAAGATGAACAGAAATGGTAGAAAATACGTCATTTTAGATCCCATGAATCTGTCATTAGCACGTGACAGATCCCGTTCATTCTCCAAGTGCTCACGTGTACCGAGCAATTGCTACACCAAACAGAACTTCCGCCCTTGCTGATGACCATGTGTGACATCGCATCCACAATTAGGAAACTGTGGCGGGGGGAGGTGACCCCCAGTTCCATACCCCTAGCAACAAAGAACACAAAATTGCAAACAATTTGTTAATAAATTTTATTGTGATTTTTAATATTGATTAACAGATCCTTGATTAGCAGTTCCCCCCACCCCCTTGATCTCAAAAGAAGACAGCCTTTGAATGCCCTCTGAACACTTTGCTCTGAGAGCCCAGCTCAGAGACGTGAAACCTGTGGAATTTCTCTTCCGTGGAGCCCCACTATGTAACAGGTGGAAACCCGCTCACATCAGGAGACAGCTCAGAGTCCGCAGCTGGCCTCTACCAGAAAGAAAGAGGCCTGGTCATGGGGGGACACTGGGCTCCTCGTGACACGCCTGTCTGTGCCTGTGTTGTGAACAAAAACTTGTCTCCCAGCTCGTTGGAGACCCCGGACACACATCAATGTCAAAGTGGGGCTGGTGGCAAGAGAGGCCCAGGTTGCTGGTCTCCTTCTAGAGGCCCCGCTGTGAGCAGWGCCATGTCACCTGAAACCAAGTCTGCAGCCCACACCCAGCACCTGGGAGGACACAGCAGAGTCACAGATCCACACCAGCAAGGTTCTGTTCGGGCTGTGACGTGTGGGGCTCTGTGGGTGCGTCCTGTGTCCCGGCCACCCTGGCCCCACTCATCCTRAACACGCACACCTGTACCAAGGGAAGGGCCTGGCCCATTCTCAGTGTGGCCCTGCCCCATGCTGATTCTGGATAGGACTGAGGTTCCCTTTGGGGCCTCCTGGACCTGCTAGGGCTGCTGAGGCTGGGGGCCACCCTGGGGGCAGGGCTCGGAGGCGGACAGCAGTGACCTGAGGAAGGATCTGGCTTCCCTCAAGTTCTTCTTTCTGGAAGTGTCTGGGAAAGGAGTGTGGTCAGAGTGGCTGGGCTGGCCCGAGTGACTCTGTTCTCGGGAAGACTATCCAGGCAGCAGCTGCCAGGAGCCCTTCCCAGGAGCTCAGACCCCATAGGTAACCTGGCAAGGTCCCCTGGCCTCAGTCTCTTGACCCTGCCTTCCAAAGTCCTCCGTCGTAGCCCTGGACCTGCAGGCTGAGGCCTGGGTCCTGCTGGGCAGTTTGGGCCTCTCTATTCACTAGAACAGGGTTCTAAATATGGCTATAAAGCCAGTTCCTTCAGTCTCATGGCTCCTCTCCTGCAGTGACCAGTCTGAGAGGACCCTCTGGGACAGTAGCCCACAGTGTCTTGGCACAAATGCAGACTGTGGGTCCACCTCTCTTCTGGCTCCTTCCTGTCCTGCCCTCTTCCCGGAGTCCACCAAACACGGATGACCCTGCACTCTGTCTCTGGAGTGGACATCCCTCCCCAGTGGGCAGCTCCCAGGCTACCAGCCCACCTTGTCTCAGGCCATTAATGCTGATAGGGACAYGATCGTGAGTATTCTTGCCATCTGGGGCCTGGATCTCTAAAACAGATCACATCTCCACAGACCCAGCAACTGTGAGAAAGAAACCTGAGGTGGCCAGAATGACAGCACGTTTCCTGAAGGCGTCAAACCTGCTTCCCCGTCAGTCGGTACACTGGGAATCCCATCATCCCCTCCCCCACCCCCAAAGAATGTTTCCCMATGGCTTTTGAATTGATAAAGAATCACAAGTTCAAGTCTAAAAAATGTTAAGCCTAACAGAGATTTGTGGAGTTTATCTAGTACTAAAAATCTAGTCTCTCCCTTGGCAGACCCCACCACTGTACCTTTTATGGTGTTGGGCAGTTTTTCTTTAAAAAAAGAAAAAAAATCTTAGGGTAAGTTTTTTTTCCCTGAATGGTTCCATAATAAATTCTAAATAGTTTGTGCAAGAGAAAACATATTGGGTTTCTACCTAATTATCTAATTTCCACTAATAAGGATAAAGGCCGTGAAACCCAATTACTCCTGGTTATGAAATACAGTTTGGCACTGACTTATTCCTGGGGACATGGAGCGGCAGGAAGCCAGAACTCAGGATGGGACCCTGTGTGGCAGATCCACCAAATGGGATGTGGCATGAAGAATTCAACAAACCCCCATTTTTGACTAAATAATTAAATGATTCCTTTTCTTTCTCCTCTTAAGGGAGAGAATGAATCCCCTAATTGCAGCTGAATCCCCAAATCTATGGCCCCAAGCTCCATGGCGTCCTTACTGCTGTCTTGCTGGGAATGGCTCCACAGTTCTGATCACTGACCCCAAGGCTATCTCCAACTCAAACCTCTGGGCTTCAGGATGCGCCGGGAGACGTCCTTCTCCGGGCTCAGAAGCACAGTGTTGAGCTGGAGCAGCCGGGGTGGTGCACAGGGCAGGGCTTCTTCAGTGCCAGGCACTTGTTKTGGGCTCAGAAGAAAGGCAATAGGGCGTGGGACATGAGCCAGCGGATCAGATACCAGGCACTCATGCTTCCTTTGAATTCCCAAGGGGGAAACAGACTCAACCCCCACCTCGCTTCTTGCTGTATTTTATAAATAGTTCCAGTTTCTGAAGGCAGGGCTTCACTTCAGACTTCTGAGTAAGTTATCAAGAAGGAAGCAGCACGCTACTTAAAATAAGCTGGTTCATGGAGAACCTGCTCCACCCTGAAGCTGAGGAGGCTTCTAACATGCACTCGCTCAGTTGCTCCTTTCAGGCCAGGGCTATTTTCCAGAACCTTCCATGGTGAATTGCAAGGTAAAAAATGACACCCTCAAAGGGCTGCAGCCTCCCTTCCTGTTCAAAGCAAATCTCTCTGCGGGTGTGTCAGGCAGTCTCAATTTACATAACTTGAGGAGGTGGGTGTCACTATTACAGTTTGGACTCAAAGTCCAATTTTCAGCTGCAATGCATGCCAGGAAAGTGTCCTAAATTCAACTGTCTGTTCCACTCTTGTTGCTAAATTATGCTTTTGTAATTTAAGCATTCCCATTAAAATGTCACATCCAATGGCRTCGGAGATGCAAAGGTAGGGAAATTAGATGCGCAGCAAAGAGCATTATTGCAAACTCCATCCAGGGCCTCCGGGGAACCTGATTTGTTAGGCTCCTGTATTCTGAGAGCTGTGCCTGCTGATCTGCCGCGGCAGAACCATCCCCACTCAGAAACCAGGAGAGCAAAGAGGAACAGACGGCACCTGCCCCAGGACCCACAGCCCAGCTGCCGGCCACACCCCGCACCCCTCCTGTTATTTCAGGGGTCAGGTTTTTTTTCAGCAAAGAGGAGGTGCAGTCTAGGATAACTGGCTTCATTTTGATACAAAGAGGCCCACAAAACAGGAATCCATGGAGAAGTCATCGGGATAAGAAGTGAAATCCACTGCCAGAGATGTCTAGCTCTGCAACACATTTTGAAATGGTTAGCAGAGGCCAGCYAAGACCAGAGCAGGCCAGGACACTCCTCTCTTCCCTCTGTGTGCTCAGCGTCCTCTCAGATCCAGCTCAGCTCTCCCCCCTCRGGAATCTCACAGAAGATTCTTTAGCCAGCATCTACGAGCTCACCGTGACCTGCCTGGGTGGCCTGAACGTCCACACGCACAACAAGAACACTCCTGCCGGGGAGGGGGCTGCTTAGCACTGCTGATAGGAATCCTATAATACCCCGAACCCGCCCCAGGAGCACTGCAAAGTGAAGAGAGAAGGGAGACTGGCTCGGGACCTTCTGATTGCATCAGGTCATGTAAGCCGGCTGCAGCGAGTTAAGGCTCCACTTCTCTTTGGCAAAGGCCTCAAATGAGCGACAGCAAGTGGGGATTTCCCCCCAAACAAGGACTCYGCTAAACACCTGCCACCAAAGGCCAAATGCACAAAGGCCGACGGCCAAACAGCTCTGGTTGAGCGCATCCGGGCAGTCACCCTGAGCCCCGCGGTTCTCAGAGGGAAGCACATGGCTTGAGAGCTCAGGGAGAGTCAGAGCTCCTCCGCGTCCCTCCCCTGGCTTCCCCGCAGTGGGTCAGAGCGTGGGCCTTTAGCCACTTCTCTGTTTCCCAGAGAGGGCCAACCCACCCACTGCCAGAGAAGACCTAGAAACAGAAACAACTCTGCCATCAGAGTCGCATTTGTCTAGCTCCTGAAGGCCCTGCTGAYTGAGCTGCGCAGGAGGAAGGGTGTGTGGTCCCAGCCAGCGTGGCCGCAGAACCAAGCTCAGAGGACCCTTCTCACCTGGTGGGATGAGGACTCTGGTGGGTGAGGACACAGCTGGCGTCAAGCTGCCCCACCCCACCCAGTCTCAGGACCCTGGGCAAAGTCATAGAGGTAGTACTTTAACTTTCCACCAACAATAGCACAGCGTCATTGGGTACAAAAGAGCAGGTCCCCCTCACCTGTGCCTCAACGGGAAGGAAACTCCGCGTCTCAGGAGAGGCTGGTGAGGGCTGGGGCCACGGCTCCTCCTGCACCATGTTGCAAAGTCTTCCAGTGCCACCCAACCCACGCCAAAGCCTGGTGCAAAATACCCTTAGATACTATTAATACAAAGGCTCCCAGGAAGCTCACAGGGTTATGAGCCCTCTGCACACACATTTTTCAAGAGGTTAGAGAAAGAAAGCCAGTCATGGCTTGCCATTTTTTTTTTCTATTTTTTTTTTTTTTTTTGATGGCACACCTGGTCAGTTTGYAGCTCCGTAAAGCCTGAAGCCCGATCCACTCCATTTTGGTTTAGAATGAGGTGTTTTTTTATTACCATTTTTCTTGGAAGTAGGAAAGAAGAACCGGAAGCTTTAAGATCAAGAATAATCAAGGTACAGTGAATCTGGAAGGCATGTGGGAGCAGGACGAGATTCCCCACCAACGCACAGAGGAAGGAGCCTGGCCCGACCCACGCGGCACCCTGGACGCCGAGTCCTGTGGAGAGCCAAGGTCAAGGTCAGAGAGTCAGACGTGGCTCTTCATTTCCAGCGATGCCTGACGAGAGAGGACTCATCGTTGACGACCTCGGGGTCCCGGGGCGTGTGCCGGCACTGGAAGGGGATGAGCAGCAGGAGGATCAGGATGAGGAGGATGACTCCGCACACGCTCATGAGGGTGTAGGAGACGATCCACAGAATGGGGTCATTCAAAGCCTGGGCGGGGACACAGTTGCTGGCTATGTCTTCGGTGGAGAAGGGCCCCGCGATCTCAGACACTGGAGCACCTGCCATCTCTGAGGAGACAGAAGGGGAGAGATGCACRGCTCTGAGCTCAGCGGTCCCCTCCAGCAGAAAGCGCCCGGAGGACCCCGGCTGCCACCCCTCTGCAGCACATTGGGGTCCCAAAGGCTGGGATGTCTTAGTGCTGGGAGGAGGGAGGCTTTGGGACAGTGAGCCTTCAGGGATCCAGGCCCGCACAGCAAGGGCAGCACCTTCCAAGGTCTGCAGGGGCTAGGGCCACGGAGGGGAGGGGAGCCTGCAGAAGGGCACGCACAGCCACAGCCTGCAGTGCCACTGAGGGGACAACACCTGGRCCTGGGCCTGGGAGCCAGCTAAGTGGCGTTGCTGTGTGTCCTCAGAGGAAGAGGAAGGGGGCGGGAATCCTAGTGGAATCTACTCGTGCCTGCCTGGCCCACGGCTGTGTCCTCTGCAGCGCCAGCCGGAGCTCACGTCCCACCCTGGGGTCCGCCTGGCTCAGCACACCCTCCCTGCCCCACTCATGTCCCACGGGTGGATCTTCAGCATCTGGGGGACCCCAACCCAAAGGATGCAGCATCTAATTCACGACACGTGGTGACAAGGAGAACCACAGGGAAGGACACTGCTGTCAAGACTCAGTGACAGAGAGAGTGCCGGAGCCCCGCAGGCGGGTCGGGGCTTGGGAGGCTCTCATCTACCTGTGCTCGGCCACCTCCCCTGTCAGCAGCGCCAGCCCTGAGCTCCACCCTGAGAACGACGAAGGAACAGGCCTTGCTGTCCCTCTTTCCTGTCTAACTGCAGAAACGACTACTCAGCCCCCCAAATAACACCGCCAAGCATCTAATTTTCCTGTGATTAGAGCCCCAAGATCCTGGGGCCGAATATGATCCTCTCAATTGAGGAAAGAACAAATCAAAATAATAATGGAGTAACGGTCTGAAAGAGTGGTTTTAAACAAGGGAAACAGCCCTGGGTCCTTTGTAAAGAAGGTACATTTTCTGCCTAGTGGACTTTTAAGGGCCCAGGCAAAGATGGGCAATGAGGAAGGCCTGTGGGCACGGCCCTCGGTCACCCCAAGGCCTGGGTGCCCACAGCAGCTGTCAGCCAGGACATCCTTGGGCCAATCCCCTGCCACTTCCTTTTGGACATCAAGTTTCACTGGAACACGGCCACATCTGCTCATGTATGAGGTCCACGACCACGGGGTGCTCCGGTGGCTGGGCAGCCACGTGCACCATGAATCAGCAACGCCTAAGGTCATCAGCACCTGGCCCTTCCTGGAGGAGGCTGCCGGTCGTGGCTTGTACCGCCATCAAGACACATATTTACTAAACATTTTAAATAACTGAAAAATAACCCTACTCTTTACTATGAAGACAATATATGTTTATGATAGAAAGATCTGAAAACATAGGGAGATAAAAGCACACTCATCAATTCACCAGTTAGAAATAGCGCTGATATCGTAGGGCGCCATCGTTTTCTACACACTGATTTTTTAAAACCAGGATGGGACTATGTGGTACTTGTTGTTTTGTAAACTCTATTTTTACTTTACATATGATATATATATGTTTAATATATACATTACCTATATTAAAATCACATCTTTTACTTTTTATCCAGGCTATCCTGCTGACCACACACACACAAAAGCTATGGGTGTCTCAGATGGTTGACCAGTTTCCCACTGCGGCCTTCCCTGTGCCCTCAGCATTTGCAGCAGTGTAGACAGGATGCAGGAAAGGTGGAGCCTAAACCGTTGTCCATATTCTCAACTTCAGAAAGAGCGCCTAGAAGTAGACTTGGGGCCGGCAAGCTCACTTTCAAGCCTCTTTATACCTGTTGGCAGAGCGTCCACGGGGAGCCCAGTGGCATGAATGCCTACCTGCGTGGAGTGGAGAGCCCACTCCTCTCCCCACCCAGCACAGGAAACAAGGACGACGGTTCCCACCTGGCTACACAACACCCACAGCCCTTGGCTTGTGAGGGGTCGCTGTTGGACAAAAACGATCGACCTTTTATGTTTTATCATCGTGGATTTGTAGGAATCCTCCTCCAGTTGCCCGTGTCTTCCTACAGCAGGTCGCCGTGGTGTGTGTGTATGTGTGTGTGTGTGTGTGCGTGCGCGCACACGCGTGTGCTTACTTTACAGATGGAGGAGCTTGGCTAGTAAGATGATGGAAAGGGAACAGGCTCAGTGCAAAGATGAGAGCATCTGAAAACAGTAAAGCATGGAGAGACGAAGGCAGGCTGGAGCCATCTCTGCCTCCAGTGAGAGGTGGAGAGAGTGCGGGCAGCTGTGTTCCTGGACCTGGAACAACCAAAACATTGGGCAAAATAGATGGAAAAAGATGGGTAACAAAGAGCACCCTGAGACTGCCCCAGCACACCCCCTGGTGGCYGCAGGATGGGGATGCAGGCAGAGGCCACTGCCTCCAAAGAGGCCCAGGAAGCCCAGGCCGTAGGAGTTCAGGGCAGAGTCAYGTTGAGGGGACAGTATGCCTCGTGGGCCCCCCTTGGGCCTCTGGCTGAGCATAGAGGCCATCCGTGTCTGTGGGTTCTGTCTCCACAGGGACATCCTGCTGCAGACCAAAAGTATTGGGGAAAAAACAGTGTCTGTACTAGGCACATGCAGGCTTTTTTCCTGTTGTTATCCCCAAACGATACAGAACAACATCTATCTACGTGGCATTTATGTTGTCGCAGGTGATTCAAGTCATCTACAGATGATGGAAGTTCATGAGAAGATGTGTGTAGGTTCCATGCAAATCCGCGTCGGAGCTGAGCATCCTTGGGCTTGGTACCAGTGGGGTCCTAGACCAGCCCCTGTGGGCTGAGGGACTGTACTGGTCAGAGAACACAGAAAGTCCATGAAAGAGCCTCTAAAAGGACGTGAAGGAAAGGCCTGGGGTCCAGACCGGGCTGGGAAGAGTGCCTTCTCCCCAGCTTTCTGTTTCCTGTTTGCTCCTTCTTCCCCCGAGTGAAGGGAAAAGCAGCAAGCAGTTCGCAGGAYGTTAGCTACAGCACGCAGAATGGCCGTCCTAAAATTCACTCTGATCTCCCTGAGGAAATCAAAGAAGCAAGACAAGAAAGCGCAGGCTGGAGGAGTTTCAAGATGGTGGAAAAGAGGAGGCCGCTTTCCCGGCTGCTCTGTGGAGTGAAACCAAGAAAGCAGACAGGCAGCTCCTCTGCAAGGTGGGTGAACCAAAAAGAAAGGTGGGGGGACTCCCCTGGAATTTAAAACTGGACATTCAAAGCAGAACGGGAACTCAGGGTGCTGGCAGCTGAGGAAGCYGATTCCTGGCAAACCCGAGTTTGACCCAAAATACAACCAATAAACACACACTGCATGACACAGAGTGTGCTGACGTGACAGCAGAAAACCAAACATGGAGAGAAGCTTACACAGGGGACAACTGGTCCTGGAAACCCACCCAGCTCTCCCACTCCCCCACCCTCTGGCTGCTTGCTGACTGGCTGGGAGAGGTGCATCTGGCAGGGAACTTAGAAGGGTAGGAATGGGAGAGATTGAATTTAGAGATTGAACCCAAGACCAGGAAACACAGGGCTGCAGGTGACATAGGTAACTAAGAATTAGGTCCCCCACTATATGTTCACAGGGCATTTGCTACAGCACGCAGAAGGGCCGTCCTAAAAATCATACAGTGTTTCCCTACTATATGAGTGGAACCCAGGGGAGATCTTGGGCTACAGTCTTCCAGCATAGACTGGCAATTACTGGGCCCTGGTGGCCCACAGATTTAAAATCTCCAGACCAATTGGCCCACCTAAGCCTAAACGTTGCCTCCAGGAATTCTGCCTATGAGATTACCTCTCTCACTCCAGCAACCCAGAGGGTGGATCATCACGCTCCAGAGGACCCCACCTAAGACTGCTGAGAAGCTGAGAAACTTCTGAACTCCAACAGAAAGAATTCTTCAACTTTTCATTGGGTTTTCTTCTCTTCTCTTCTCTTCTCTTCTCTTCTCTTCTTTCTCTTCTCTTCTCTTCTCTTCTCTTCTCTTCTCTTCTCTTCTCTTCTCTTCTCTTCTCTTCTCTTCTCTTCTCTCTCTCTCTC